CCTCCCACTTCCCAGTGCTGTTACCAGAGAAGAAACGGCTTTAGGCAAGACAGGGCGAGAACAGTCTCGTAGTTAAACTTCGACGAATCATGATTAAACTTTGACAAATCGTCATTAAACTTGGACAAATGAGGGTCTGTCGCTGCTCTGAAGCAGTAACAGCGCCTTGTTTTCTTCCAGCGTTAGGCAGAGTAGTCAGTATTAAACAGTATTTTTAGTGCAGGTTTAAGTATTCCCATCTGCGTTTGGAATTCTCTGGGAATAGATGTTATTTACAGCTTATCAGGGAGGAGAGCTGAGTTATCTGATGCACTGTTGGAGCAGACACAGCCCCCGAGGGCCTCCCCTGGACCTGCTGCTGGAGAAACCCCTTCCTCCATCCCTCAGAACCTGCCTCCACAAGCACCTCCACTGACCATGCTTCTGTTCCAAAAGCAAAACCACCTCGACCATCTACAGTCCCAAGTGCCACTCGTGAGCTTTCTGAGGTCACGTCAGGGATAGCCATCCGTCTGTCAGAATTCATCCCTGAGGCAAAGAAAAACCTGCTTTAGTTACTAGTCGTGGCCTTCGGTTCAGCGACAGAATCAACACAGTTGTGGAGTTTAGGAAAGGCTCCAGAAAAGCAGAAATAAGGAAAGCTCGAGTCCTCAGTCTGCAAGCCCCATCTAACAGAAAAGACACCCCACTCCTGCTGTGCCTCACACAGCCAAGCCTCTTCCTTCTTTTACAAGCAGCATCTGCTAGGGATCCAGGACTGTCAGTAAAGCCAGCAGCCAAGGAGAGCAAGCTCACAGGAGGGAAGAAACGTTCCTCAAAGCAGAGCAAATCTTTACCGAGGCCACTGCTTTTCCTTATCTGTGAGAGGGACGTAGATCACCCCCATGAGCTGCGTTTCGATGATCTGCCCGTCGCTGGTCTTGTCGTACTGCATCAGGACTTGGTTTGCCCCCTCGGGACCTATGGGCAATATTAACCGCCCGCCTGGCTTCAGCTCATTCAGCAACTGCAAGCAGAGAAATCCCAATGAGCAGGGCCAAACCCAGAGACACGACAGGAATCAGCCACGCTGCGGAGACTGTGGCACCTCGAAAGGCCCAAGCGTGCAGCTCCGTATAAACTAGGCAGAGGAGTGTCCAGGGGTTCCCCAATTACTCTGTTTTCCAGAGCTGCTGATGCAGGCAGCCCACAGCAAGAGACATCGGCATGCTCTTACCTCCTTTGGTACAGTGGCAGCTGCTGCTCCAACATGAATGGCATCGTAAGGAGCCTCTTCAGGGTATCCCTGTCTGCCATCACCAACTGCAGGAGGGAAAGCATGCAGGGAAGACTTTTGTTTGCAAAAAGTAATCCTTCCTCTACCCTTTCAGTTGAAATCTAACGATGAAACCTTCCTAACGAGACTGTGATGGCAATTTGAATGCCCAAACCAGAGCACTGACCTGTCTGCGTAAACCTAATTTGGTTTAAATAGGGAAGAGATTTCTGGAAGTGAGCCATGCTAGAAGGGACAGTGAAAACCTGGAAGGTCTTTTAGTAACACAGGGGCTTTGTGCAAGCTTGAGATTCTAGATACAGGAAGAGCTGACTCAAGTTATGCTCCCAAAAACCACAAAGGGCATGCAGACCTGTTCAGGTAGACTAAAACCCAGATGTGGTACAGCCACACTCCTCCAAACAGTGTCCCTTACTAAATTAAGACAGTCAGCACGCACTGGGAAGGTGTGTGACTGCCTGTAACATTAAATACTACTCGTTTACACCACAGTGTCAGGTAGCATGGCGCGGTGCTTACTTAGCCAGTACTTTCTGGCAACAGCGTGGTGAGCACAACACAAACTGGATAAACTCTGCAGGCAGAGAGTGCACTCGGGGAGAGAACCAGGGAGCTCACCCACAAGCTTTACACGGCCAGAGCTGAGCAAAGTCGGATCATCCTCCTGGACGTTCCTGATGGATTCATGTACCAGCTCTTGAATGTGCTCGATGCCCACAGCTCTCCCTGTTGGGCCTATCTGCAAAGAGGAAAAGCAGACAAACACCTAATGCCTCCTGCATGGCAGAGGTGGATTTTACTGAGCAACTTATGGTAGGGATTGGAGAAATCCCAGGAAGAAGCTTAAGAGCAGCTTCCGAACAGGAGGTGCAAACACTCTGCCCCTTGGTTTTAAGGCTGAGTAGTCCCAGTTATAGTAGCTACTCGAGGACACAGACTCTGCCTGTGGGGATTCCTACCAATCCTGCACTTCTAAGGAAATGATTATTTGTTGGGAGTAGCAGCTTCTGTGGCAGGGGCAGTTCTTGACTAACCAACCTGAGGGACTCCACCAGCTTTCCAGCACTTCACAGAAAGTCAATCCAGGAGCTCAGCAGACAGAGGAGCAGCCTGAGGCTGCCTCAGAAGCAAACTGAACACAACCTGCAGTGAGACTTGCCCAGTAGGTTAATACCCCCCTCTCCATCTGAACTGGGTAAACACACAAAACATTTCATGGCAGATACAGCAACCACTGAGATTCCAAAAATGACTGTCTTTGGTTTTACTACACACTGGTGTGGGGACTGTAGCGACAGGACAAGGGGTGATGGGTTTAAGCTGAAACAGGGGAAGTTCTGTTGAGATCTAAGGAGAAAGTTCTTCCCTGTGAGAGTGCTGAGGCACTGGCACAGGGTGCCCAGAGAAGCTGTGGCTGCCCCGTCCCTGGCAGTGTTCAAGGCCAGGTTGGACACAGGGGTTGGAGCAACCTGCTCTAGTGGAAGGTGTCCCTGCCCGTGGCAGGGGTTGGAGCTGGAGGAGCTTTAACGTCCCTTCCAACCCAAAGGAGTCTGAGATTCTAAGTCTGGCCCTGCCTTCCACTTCCTCCTTTCCCCACAAAAAACACGTGCCAGTTATGCCAAGCTGCCATCCCAGAGACTGAGCCCAGGGAACTTACCATCCTGGCGAAGCAGGCTGTGAGGTATCCGCTTCCAGACCCAACATCCAGTGCTTTCGCGCCTTCCACGAGCTGATCCTTCAACAGCTCCAGTGCGTGGGCATGCTGCATGGACAAGGAGCGTGAGAAGGGGGCTCACACCCCGCTTGGGTTTCCTCCCCTAAAGCTTTCTCTTGTTCTTCTCCAGTTGAAGCACAGCACACAGGGCATTTTGTCTGACAGATTGAACCTCAAGTGTTTCATTGGAAAGATCCATTTGCAGATCAGCATTCAGGAAGAGGCTCAGGAATAAGAAGTGGAAGGAAAGCGAGGGGGAAAAAGCAGCAAGAAAAGAGGTCTTGTGCAAAAAATGGGCAACATCAGTGGTTAGACTCAGCTGCGTGGAATTCCTATCAGGCATATGGTTAAAGCAATTTAAAGAGCGTGGGGCAAACTCAAGAAAGAAAAAGCTTCACATCTACAGTGCCTAAAGAAACCATGATGATAACCACACCATGGGATCTGTTTCTGCTTGAATATTTAAGGAGAATGGCAAACAATCAATTCCCTCCATTTTGGCTAAAAGTGAAAAGTTCCATCTTACCATGTGCGGTGCACTGATTGTGGCCTTGTATCCTGAAAGGAAACCAGTGACAACAGTGTGTGACAAAGAAATGAGGGTTAAATTAAAGCACCTTTATTCTCCCCCACTATCCCCTCAAATTATAAGCCCCCTCTTTTGCTGTGTGAAAGCACTTTATTGACTTAAATCCTCCTGTGGAATAACTAAGGGGCACGAGATGGCTGCACAACGCTGCACTCCCACGTGCTCCAGGTCACCCCCATGCAGGACTTGGGGTGGCCATGAACAGGGTGACCCACACACCGTAACAGTGGTGGTACTTTGCCCCTAGTTACTCACCAATAGACTGAGGAGAATCCATGTACGGGTAATACTTGATGTAGTGACCTCTGTCCGTAGCCAGCAGCACATCAAAGACTCGCTGGGATTTAATTATCCCTTTTTCTGGGAGAAGAAGGAAAACAGAGAGACAGGAGTGAAATCCAGGGTGCTGCAGCAAGAGGAGACTTGGGAAGGGGGAGGTCAGTGCAGGGAGTCAGTGGAACTGGGAGAATTCAACCTCAGTTGAACCTGAGAAGGGACAGAACAAACCTGCAGGTGGGAGGATGTCCCTTCTGGTTCTCCTACCCACCAAAACAAGGTGATGGTCCCAACCACCGGCCCAGCCTCTCCCAGGGGACAGTGACCTACACCCCAGCCCTCCTGGGATGTGGGACTGCACAGTGTAACCAGAGACACAGAGTCACACCTTCCCTGCTGAAAGCAGAGACTCCGGGTCAGGTTTCCAGGAGCAAACTACAGTTAAGGACGATGGCTGAGGAAGCCCTCACCAGCCTCCACTCCTCATCCCGGGGGACCTCTGACGGGGAAAAGGCCGCTTTAGGCAACAGGGAAATGCCAAGGTCATGGGAAGCTTCTCCTCCCCCAACACCCCAAGTCCTTCTCCTTGGGGCTGCACATCCATTCAGCCTGTTTATGCTGGGGATTGCCCCAACCCAGGAGCAAGACCTTGCCCTTGGCCTGCTTGAACTCCATGAGGTTCGCACCGTCCCCTCTCTCCAGCGTGGCCCGGTCCCTCGGGACAGCAAACTCCCGGCACAACACCTTGTTTCCCGCTGTAAACGGCCTGGGGCAACCCCTGTCATTCGGGCACTACGAACCGTGGCCCCGCAGGGC